AATGAAGAAGGTATTTGGCAGTGGGTACAGTTACTTATGGATTCGACATTGCGCCGTCCGGCATTTGCGGTCTTCGCGATCGGGCACGTGCTTCGAATTTATTGAAACACTCGTGAGAACGAATGGAATGAAGCCTATTCAGTAATCGAATAATATCGTCCCACGTACTGCTGTAGTTTTAGATGCGTTCTCCACCTACTGGGACCCATAGGCAAGTGTTTCTATGCCAGAGGAGGACAGATAGACATCGAGTTTACTTGATGGAAGGTGTAATACCTCAGTCATGTTGCATTAAAACGTGATTTGAATAAAACACTTTTAACAGTTTTAAACGCGAAATATATTATTTTTTTTTGTGGGGGGGGTTTCCCGGCGGCCAAAAAAAAAAAAAACGCCCCCCTTTTTTGGGGGGGGTTTTTTTTTTTTTTTGGGGGGGTAAAAATTTTTTTTTTTTTTTTTTAATGGGGAAAAAACGGGGATTTTTTTAAAAAAATCTTTTTAAAATTTTTTTTCTCTGGGGGGGGTTTTGCAACAGCCATCTAGTATAAATGTCAGTTATTATTTGGCTTCAGTCTGTAGATTTACTTTCTTATTTTTGCCGAGAATTATCTTAATATTCTACATATGACTTCGAAACGTGAATTCTGTGAGTAGGGCTTATTTAAAAAGTTTAATTTCGAGAAAAGTTTGCAAATGGTGGGATTTCAACGTACTCCAGCTCATTATATATTCCGTCGGTAGGATAAGAAAATATTCCACACAATTTATATTCCTGTGGCCATCAAGGACACAATCAGGCTGCTCTAAATTCTTATGTACGCTTTATCTTCTAATCAAAACAGTCCTGCATATACTGCTGGAGTAATTCTACGAATAATCAAGTATTAGTCGCAGATCCTAATAGCCCTGGTATACACTATAAATCTTATCATTGAGAGACCAAATATTAAATTGTTTACTTTTTTATATCGTTTAATTAGAATAGAAGGTGCCACCATTGTGAAAATTAATAAAATTTTCTATATGAGATGAACTTTAGAGCAACAGCACAGAACGCTGTGGATACCGGTTAAATTCTGCCCGTGTTGTAATTTTTTTCAATCTAAAATCGATTTTAAAGTTCGTTATACATAATTGGTTAAATACAAATTTTAAATTATTACATATGTAATGAGAGTAATTGCTATGAATAACCGTCACTACGGGTTACAAAAATAAGGTTTTAATATTGTATATTGGTTTTCATGTATCGCCATGAATAACTTGATTGAGTAAAAAAATCAATGTGAAACGTGTGTCAAACAAGCTATAGGCGCTATCATTGCGCCGTGTACAAACGATTTCAGTTAATAAGCAAGCTTTTTTCAATCTCGTTAAAACTTTTGTAGGTAATATTGCTGAAATTTTTATACTCTATCGACCTTTCTATCTCTGTTCCGTTATTTAAAGGAATATGAGACTAATGGGCTACCTAAAAACAAAACTTGGAAATCTCCTTAGTATTATTAATAACTCAAAACTTAATTTATTGATTCTGATATCGAATATGAGCCATCCCACAAAGTCCATTTATTTTTGGATATTAGGAAATCCATAGATGCAACCAAAACGCCTATTCAAGTTTGGATCGTGACCGGGGTAGAATTTCGATATTCCTACCACCCATAAAATATTCAACTTTCAGATTTCTGATAATTTATACATTGATTTAACACGTTGTCTCCCGTGGGTTCGAACCCATGACTCGTTGACATTATATAAACCTCTCACCATTATATAAACGAGCCTCACAACTTCTAACGTACGAGTTCTACTTCCGCTTTCCAGATTCACATTTTGTAAACAGAGTTAATAATACACAAATATTGTACTTGATACAATATGATGATTGGCGTCAGAGCTCTCGCCTAGGCCCTCGGCCTAAAAACCCAGCCGGGAATAAATGAATGAGCAATGCATCTGCAGGCAACAGCCGGCCCAAGGTTCCCTCACACGTGGAACAGCACGGGACACTCGCATGTGCCTTAACGTGATGCTTTAGACCTATAAACCCATCGCTTAATATCAACCGAGTGCCACGTGACTCTTATTCAAATCTGACCCCTTTTGTCTTCAGCTGCATACGCCCAAGGAGCTTACGGTTTCGTAACCCATCCATGACTTACATTCTTCTAGAAGTTTATAATAAGACGCCATATGTACAGTAACTGAAGTAAAAATTTTTGTACTTATTCGTATGGTTTTTAAAACGAACTTGATTAATATTGAATCGAAGTATGTTTTTAGGTTTTTTTGATAAATAGGCGTTAAAAATGGGTAAGTATATAAACAGACACGAATTCTATGATGCAAAATACTAGATGGAATAAACATGACGAGCAACAGCTGTTATAAATAGATATGAAAGTAAAATGAGTGGAAATTTACAAAAGAGGAAGCATTAAATTTGCGGAAAATGCAAAAGTGACGTTCAAAGTATATATTACCAAGTTATGATTGTATGAGTATTAACAATGAAATGCAACCGTTTCGACTATAACAAATTTGAATAACAGAAAGTCCCGGGTTTTGCCTTTTCCGTTTCATTTTATTGTGTTCGAAATTTTTGAGACAAAGGGTCCTAACAATAGTAAACTTTCGTTTTAACTGCACTCTCAATTTCTTGGCGGCACAATGTAATTTATAACTGGTGCACATTTCTTTTATGACAAAGTTAGGTATTCACTATTCAATTGTTGATACAAAAACAGTCGCTCGACAAAAGATTTGGTTTCGAAACTGTCTGTTGTTTCTGTGAATTGACGTAAATATAGTGCAATAAAACAAAACATTGTTAGTACGTAACATTTATCTCTATTTCTAGTTCGTTTTAGTCACTTTAATGTAAGAATAACTATTAACATCCTGATCGAAACTAGAAATTTCTTACATTTCAGTACAAAAGAGGGTCTATTTTATTTCTGGAATTATTTGCAACATACTTGTACTGTTGTGAAACTCATAAAGCCCGCTACACTGTTTGCAAACAATGTTCTTAAATGTTACTAGGCGTCTGCAGATAAGTAACCGAGAAGCATAAAGAAAGAACCATATTTTTGACATATTATGTTTATAAAATATGTAAATAGTAAAAAACATCATGAATATTGGAAAGTTCTTGAGTTTTTTAAATTGTTCGCTTCGGTTGGTGGTTCGAACCACCTGAACTTTGCAAAATGGTAAAATTTATTAAAATTATAAACAATACCTCTATTGATTATCTATACTAATATTATAAAGCTCAGGAGTTTGATTGAACTCGCTAATATCAGGAATTACTAGTTTGAATATAAAAAATATTTTTGTGTTAGATGAATCGTTTATCGAAAAATGCTTTAAAACATCAGGCTGCGTCTAGGAGCAGAGAAACAGGTGGATGTGTGGGAAAACTGAAAAAAAAACTTTGTGGGCTTCCGTTCCGTGCGCTGCGAAAACGATATAAGAAACCAAAAAATATATGAAAATATGAAAGAATGATTCTTTTTTAAATGATCTAATAATATGTCTACGACGGTATGTCTTTTCTTTTAAGATTAACACGCGAGTACGGGGCAAGACGGGACACCGTCATTGTCGTGTAATAATTTATAAAAGATGTTAAATTGATGCCCAAAATAACTATTCTACGCGGACAAGTGGACACAGCTTGACTCTTTTATGCCGTTTGGAAGCGACCTTTTTGGGATCTCCTTAAATTTAGAAAGAAATAAGCGGCTAAATTGGCTTCTTGTGTGAATTCTGGGACCATTGGTGGTATCTTTTACTGTATTGATTTTTTGTTCTTAAATATATGCTATATGCGAGCTACAAGTACTGTGTAAGATTCAATAAAAATGCTTCTCGATATTAAAAGCCAAACCATTCGTCATTATTATAAACTCAAAGATGCCTTGTCAAAATTAGGCGAAAATCTAAACCAAAACAGCTCGACAGCGCTTCTTGGTAAAATGTAAACCTTCCATCAAGCACGGGGTTCATCTCATGCTTGTCTGGGCCTCCGCCTTATTAAGAAAAAGGAAATTATCTATTATTGATTCACCCTTCTGATTGGACGGTTTTATATCTTAGAATTCATTGCATTGCTTTATATTGTATTAAGCTTGGGTCTCCGATTTCAAGTCGGTAACAAGAGCTACAATTCGTCGGGTCATAAAAGGATTAACTGGTTCGTAACTAAAATCGGTCATTGAATGCGTCTCGTATATGAGACTTAACTGCTATTGTGATAACGATTTCTAATATTTTAAAAGTATTTCCACTTAGCAAAGAGGTTTAATATTCAGAGGAAGTGCGTAAGTTGGTCAAAGTGAAATGACCGCCGCTGACCACTCAGTAGTTGCGTCATTCACGTTTGCCTCTTGAATTTGAAGTTTAAGTTCGTGTGACCAATGTTCAAAAAAAGGAAGAAGTTATAGTGTTTTAAAATAGGAACCTTTTAAGGGTTAAAACGCAAAGTACATGGTTTATTTTTAAAAAAGGAATATATATACTGAAATAAAAAGTTATTTTTAGTATAATAAATCATGAAAGCAAACATGAAAAATTTGAAAATTTTCACATGTTATTGCACATGAAGTCACTATATAATTTAAAAATCGAAAATAAATTGAAAAAATCGACGATGAGGTGTAGGACTCATAGCTCAATTGTTAGAATACGTAACGCTGACGATGCCTGTTCAAGTCCTGCCCGAGTTGAAATTTTTTTTCAATTTATTTTCGATTTTTAAATTACATTGAATAACCTTAAAATACACGGACAATTATTTAATTATAGATTTTTAAGCTTTATGTGTTTTATTTTTTGGGGGGTAAAAAAAATTTGGAGGTTGGGGGGTGTTTTTCCCCTGTTCGACGTTATATACTTAAATATGTTCGCTACTACACTTATGTAGTGTATATAATTTTTTTTTAAATTTGATGTTTAAGAGTTTTTATTAAAAAAAAATCAATGAATTGTCTTTATGTTACGCGCAACGCCTCTCTCTTAGGCTTCTTATTTCGTCTTATAGCCTTCTTATCTTCTTTCTTTATGTGCATAGGAACATCTCTACAAGGAAACTGTATTTCGGCTTTATTATTATTGCCTATATTTTGAATAAGATTGGAAATTAGGATTGTGTTAAGTTTATCAATTTTTAACGTTTACGGTAGTCGAAATTCTGTTCGGGTAACGAACCTCTGTCAGCAGATGAAACGACGTAATTTTTGAAAACTGCGTCTCAGTTTTCGTCTCCATTTTTTGATTTTCGAATTTCCAAAGCCAAAGTTGGTCGAAAGCGCTCCTGTTTAGATGGCTGAGGTATTCTGTCAAGTGAACTTTATGCTTCTGTGTCCTCCTTCATAGAAAATTATATAGGAAGCACAATCGCGTATAAGAATCTAGTCAATTAAACGAGAGGTGCGTTCTATATACGGAAACCGTGTTTTTGCCAACCACGTCCAAGTTCAACAGCCAGAATTGCGATCTAGACACGGACGAAGGATGGAGCCGACCCACTTGTGGTTCCCTGACCTCCGCCGCAGCCTAGCGTAGAATTTCGCCTCTCTTTCACTCTCCCACAACAATATTGACTCTGTCTCTCTCTTGTCATTTTCGCACGCATATTCGGAAAATCGCTTGAGCACTTAAAAATTTAGAGGAGCTATTTACATTCGTCATACCATAAAAGCTTACTTAGTTACGTAGGCTGTGTTCAAGCACCTGAAAATTTGTTTTAAAGCGTAGATTTTTTTTTAACTTAAATCATGAAAACTCTTTTTGTTTCCACTTACTGTTCTATTGAAGAATATAAAAAAATATGTAACCTTGTATTAGGCAGTTAAAAACTGGAAAAAGCGGATTTTGAATGTTCGGTTATGACATTCTTTATCTAAGATTTAAACCTGGTCTACGTGCTTCTAACTAAAATAAAAAAGACTAAGACTATTTGAGTCTATATACCCTTCTGTTTTGCTTAGAGTGTACATATTCTGTTCTTGTTCTTTGATGCCCTTATTTTTAAGCAAAATGTTTTGTTATTGTTAAGATGCAATCGTCTTAATTTTTATTATTTTTAATCAAAATGAAAGGTAACGAATACCAATAAGTTAAGCTGTAACCAGTCCAATTATTATTAATGTAATTTTTTTCACATACAACACAATCGCACTGAGCGAAGCCGTTTTGAGAGCGAGTAACGGTGCATCGAGCGCTGATTATCTACATCACATCACAGTGAGTTAAAAACACTAGCACTTACATAACAAAAAGCGAGTGTGTCGACAAAGGATGCCTCGAGCATGACACAATACAACGGTAACCAACGGGGCGAAGACTCAAAAGAACATAACAGCGCCATATAAAGAAGGACACGACCGTGCTGAATTTCATTTTCTAAAACCCGATTACACAGAGGTGACGCAAGGTGGAGTGGAGGTCGGCTAACGGCGACAGAAATCTCGAAAACGAAAGCCATACGAAACTGAAATCGAAGGGAGTGATCCCGTTATCCTGACTCCTGACAACAGAGATGGAAAGCTCCCGTTAAAATGCTCGTACATGCTGATAGCACAGCAATGAGAGATTAAGCATGATATATAGTGCGCAGGCGCAAATCTTTTTTGCCCGAGTTTCATAAAGCTTTTAGAGATCAGTTGACTGAAGTAGTAATGTTTTTCATGACTACCTACGTTGTATATCATAAACTATCCAAATCTTATAGTAATTGTAATCAAAGTGAGATCCTTTTTATTTTAATTAAATTAATAGCTATGCGGACAACCGCATAAAACCAATTATTGACAAATAATAATTATTTTTTCATAATATTATATTTCCATTACTACTTCTTTCTTTAAACAAGAGCACCATTTCAATACATTGCTTAAAAAGTTAATAAGGCGTTTTAATATTATACAATAGTTTTTTAAATACTGTCTATAGTTTACGCGAGTAGTACACATTTAAATAAAACACTTTAACGGTTGAAAACGCGAGAGGAGACGCGACGCGACGAAAACGCGGAGACCACGGCTGCTGCAGGTCTCCCCTTGACCACGGCTGCTGCAAAGCATCCGAAACGTCGGGCCGAAGTTAAAAATCATTTTCAAATAAATTTAACTAATATATCGCGTTTTAAACCGTTAAAGTGTTTTATTTAAATAGTTTTATTTTAAATATCTAGTACTATTTAGGAAAAAATGTTCTTTTTATAAATTAAACACTAATTGTGTGTTTTTTGAAATTATATTAGCGAACATCTGTAATTTTTCCTTCCTGACTACATTTTTAAGCAATTTTTTCAATATTGCTACCAGCGCCACCTCTCAAATTTAGTAAGAAATAGCGTTCTGTTGTGATGAACGTTGAGATGTGGTTCTTTAAAACTGGTTTTGTTGTTAATATAAAGATATAGATGTCAGTTTTTTAAAATATACCACTTGAATAACAACAGACCTCTAAATACCATCTTTCCTTGACTCCTAGGAGGCTAAGGCCAGTAAACTAAAGTAAATGCGTATCAACATACATCATCTATGTAGCGCTGTACTGTTATCCTTACTATTTTCTCGTACGTTATTTCCTTTCTTGGTAGGACAGTTCCAAAGCACCGGTTCAATATTTTATTCTTATAACGCTTGTCATGATAAAAATCGGCACAAAATTACCCAAAATTCAATGTTAGCTAATGTGTAAGAGAATTTTGCAATAATCATAAACTTTTCATCATATTTTATTTATTTTGACATTAGTAGTTGTCAACAACAAAGGACGCCGCTATCCATATGGCTATTGTATAATTTTATATAAATAATTATATCTAGCAAAAATATTCCGTCAAGCGTCATTTTTATGACACGTACAATTTTATTCAACAAATGTTGACACTGAACGTATGTTAATTTTGCTAACTAAAATAATTTAAATATAAATATGAATAAGGTGTGATATACATTTTTTTTATGCTGTATATACTTTTACATATAAAAAAAGTGTAATCTGTTACTTACCACACATTTTTTAGTAAATTTTTACAGTCATTTTGCAAATGTTGTAATTTTGCATATAAACATACAATGTTGCTAACAACGATGCTTGGATTTTTAAGGAACATGCAGAACTTAAAGTATGTGTAAAATGACATTTGGCAATAAAAAATGGCAGCAAGTCTCTTGCCAAATCTTCGCGTTCGCCCTTGATTTTTAAAGCTGGGACTAAAAGTAAATTTTGAATCCTTTATTTTTACATTCAGAAATGTAACTACAGGAACAAATTATTTTTGGATTTGCTGTGGTCTGTATTTAAAAGAAATCTCCACTGTTATAGAATGTATGACCTACTGTATCAAGTTATTTGATGATTAACACATCCGGCTTTTTCAATAAAGCTAAAACCACTAAAGGTAAATTAATTACTCATGGATGTGGATGGCATCTGATATAAAGACAGAAGTACTGCCTCTGTAGATCAAGACTCAACAGTTTCAAACCATTGTTTTAAGGACCACATTAAATTGTTACAATCAGGCAGTGTACAGAATTTTTAACTACAAGCTAACTAATATTCAGATTTCCAGTCGAAGTCCAGCATGTTTCAGATGAATGAGCCCGTCGAAATATAGCACGTGATAGAAAACGTTTTAATTAGTTAAAAATTAATATTCGTTAATACATTAGTCATCTGTTTCTATAAATCTAATATATAAAATTCTCGTGTCACAGTTTACGTTGCCATACCCCTCCGAAACGGCTTGACCGATTTTAATGAAATCTTTTGTGCTTATCCGGTATCTATGAGAATCGGCCAACATCTATGTTTCAATTAAATGTTAGTCCACCCCTTAATTGTTTTTTTTATTTTTTAGACAAAATTTTTAATTTCTTTCTTTAAATTTTTATATGAAAAAAACTTCCTCATTCAATAACCGTATTTCTATACATTTTGTAATTTAATCAATTTTCCTCTCCGGTCAAAAACTTGTATGGCAAAACAACGTTTGGCGGGTCAGCTAGTATAATTATAAAACACTCAAACCATGAAAACAAATAGTTGATAAAAACATTAGCAATCACAAATAACGTATGGAAAAGTTTTCCATAATTAATGGCACTGGTAGTAAACAACCTAAAATAGTATTGTAAAATTATGGTATAGCTTTATGTAGATTGACAAATTAGGCGATTGTATTACTTAACAGTGTGTCGAATTGTTATCATTAATAGGGACGCATGAATTAACAAATGAAGGTCAAAAAAAGGAACAAATTTTGAACGCGCTAATAAAAGAAAATATGGAAAACGGGGAAAAATATTCATCTTCGGCGGTTTCCGTTGCGCGCGCTGCGAAAACAGTTCCTGATATCCAAAAAATATGTATAATAAATGAAATGATTCTTCTTTAAATGATGTAAAAAATTGTTCGCGGAATTGTATGACTTCCTTTTAAGATTAACTCCGTGGGTAACGGGTATTATTTATAAAGTTAAGGAGGTTGTTTGTGAAAACAAATGATATGATGCTCAAAATAACTATTTCACGCGGACGATGTTGTGGGCTATACAAAAAGACTTAGCCTAGGATAACGCTTAGTAAATTCCAAGGAGGAGGAGCTTTCTAGGATATAAGTGACGTACTCTCTGTCACGATGGCTGGTTGTTACGTCTTTATAACAATAAGGAAGTCAATTATAAGTACAACCGTTTTTAGATAAAAATAATTAAATATCAGTGGCAGAATTCACAGAACTTCGCTCCATTTGTAAATGCAAATGCACCGGAAATGAACAAGTATTTTAATCGTTAAAATCAAATGTCTTGTAAAAAGATACAACTAAGTAGACCAATTATTATTGTATTTGCAAAATTTATGTATCATTCTTATTTTATTCTTAATATTTTCAAGGATTTAAGACTTACTTAGGATCGTGATGCCCGGCTAAAGATAATCTAAGGGTTGCCCAGAAGAGATCACTTAATAGCGACAAGGGTGCCCGTTAGACTCCATTCTATATGGATATTATTTTTGATTCATTGTAATTATGTGAGTGTTGTGTAATAGAGTATAAATAATACTAATAATCTTTTGGGTCGGATAGAGTAAAGAAATCTAATAAAATACTTGTTTTATATAAGGTCGATGGGGTAAACCGATACAGAAATGTGGCTGTCCTCAGAAAAAGTTAATTTTAAACATCTTTAATGTTTTATAGACTAACAATGTTATTTGGTTTCTACACTTTGTTCTGTTGAGCTGTAACGGAATCTTCTACGGAACCATAGATCAGTCTCCAGCGCCATCTTAGCCAATCTCCTACGTGCCTAATCACCCCACTTGTTTTCCAAAGAACACGTTCAAATATAAATTAATGATTTTCGCCGCCAATCACCACACGTGAACGTCATCAAAGACCAACTACCGGTTTAGTATTACCATATATTACGTAGTAAATAATAGGTGTTTATAAATATCGAATGCCTTCGTATTTTTCCAGGCTATAATACTCGGCTTTACATAAATCGTATCCGTTTGTACGATCCGGTTTTCCTTGCAAACTTGAACTCCTTACCCTTACGCGTTCTAAGGCGGCATTTGGCGGCCAATGTCGGGATACAGAGAGTAATAAAGTTTTATTAATATGCAGTCGGTTCCAAAAGAAAATGGATATACTACTCGAAAGATAGTATCTGTAGCTTATGCGAGTAGTTGACATTCAATTTTTGGATAATAAAACACTTCAACGGTTAATACTTAAATTTGTTTGAAAATTATTTCAACTACTTTTATTTTGGGCATCCAAATTCGATTTTAAAAACCCCCTTCATCTTTATATACTTAAGCTGTTACTCAGGTCATCAGTCGCTTCCCTTCTCGTCGTTCTTGCAGGTTTACTTTAAAAGATAGATATATAGCGTCTCGAAATCTTTTTTAGATCATTTAAAGAGGAATCATTTTTTTGATAATATTTTTTGGGTATCTTGAACTGTTTTTGCTCGGAAACCTCGGAGACCCATAATGATAAATATCTTTCCAAATTTTTTTCACATTTCTCACTGTATCTTCGCTCGTGTTAGTCACAAGGCGATGTTTTAGCCTTAGTGTATATAGATAGTTTAGCCTTCTTCGATAAATGCTCTGACCAACACAAAAATAATTTTTCCATTAAACCGTAGATTAGCGGGTTCAAACAAACAGACAAACTCTTCAGCTTTACATATTAGTAATATACAAGTATAGACATGTACGTAATCTATTTTGCGTTCTAAACCATTCAATGTTTAACTACAAGAATGCTAATTTTATTATTATTACAGATTCTTCTATAGCATCAGTTTTTAATCGAAATATATATGTTTTTTGTTGTGACGTAGATTATATATTACGAATATTAAAACAGGTAAAAAATGGCCGTGCGTCCATGTGAATAATTGTTATGGTGTATAATAAAAGGGCAAAAAACAGCGGACTCGAAAATCAGCGGCGAATTTTCAACGCGTCAATATTTAAATCTATTTCACATATTTGGTAGCAGGGTGTGGTCGATTTTCTTGAAGCGACGAAAATCATTTTCGCGTTCTGCGCGGGCTTTTCGTTGACGTCGTCGTACACGAAGCCCAAATTAAAGGAGAGGCCTGGCGGAATCCTCTTGCACCTCGAGAGAGAGAGATTAATAAACTTAATCTCCTCTAAGTCGGGGATGAGTTTATAGAGTTTGATGTACACAGGCTCAAGTATCAAATTACAAAACTTAATGTGATACGTCGTAACGCCGCCTCTTTTATATTCCATCCTGTATGGATTAGGGTACGAAATGAGCCGGTCTTCACACACGTAAGAAGCTGTTTTCCGCAGGGGACTGGAAAAATATTTGGATATTTCGATAAACCTCTCAACTTCCGATTTGAACGCCTCAGTGGTTTCGTCGTGCTCTTGTGTATCTTCGATAAAATCGTTCTTCGTTTCCTCTAAGACCGTTTTCAGGCCGCTCCTTAAAGGACTTTCCATTGAAGCCTGTTGGTCGTTTGTATAAGTCGTAACTATGGGAGTGCCTTTTTTGAAGGGTGGTGATTTGATTCTATGCTTCCGGTTCATTATTAGGTTATCACTTTTAAATTTATCTTATATTATGATTAAGATACAATTTACATATCTAAATTGATGGCAATCTCACTTACTCGAGGAGAACAAGGAACAGGTTTTTTAATAAACTTCAGTAGTACCAATTATAAAGCACGACAACTGATGTCACCTAAGTCAAAAGGAAAAAAATAAAAGCGCACTCTTAAAAAAGAGGAATTATTAAACTATACACTATTACTACTATATACATTTAAAATATTTTGTCCTGAATGACAGATAAAGCACAGTCTCAAGTGTAAGTTAACATTTTATAGAACATTTATTAATATTCCCCAATTTTTAATAAATTATCAAATCTACAACATTAAAACAATTAAGATCTATGCGAGAATATTTCAAATAACATTAAAAGACATCCTTTAACAAGGTTCAACAAGCCTAAAGTAAAAAATATATTATTTCTTGATTTTAATACGAGAAGAAAAAGACAAAAAACAATCAACCTACAAATCTTTCTGTCAGCGTGCGACCCTGTTATTATCCTCATTTAGCACGTTATAATAATGATTTTTGTGTGAAAATGAATAAATATGAAAGGATAACAGTTTTATCCTTTCATATAACTCTTAACAATTAATATAAATTTATTAATCATATCCGATAGAAGTGATTGTAATCTTCTAACTCTCTAAGATTCTGGGGACATTAAAAAAGCCATCATGTGCAAATAACATGTTCAAAAATATTAAAGTTTAAAAAGGCCTATCAATTTTTATTGTATACATGTTCATTTATCTATTTAAATGTATTGCACAAATGGTCGCAATCTTTAATTCTTTTCTCTTCGGACGTCAACTGAGAAGGACGGCGCCAGTATAATGCCGATTTTTTGGAAATTTCCGATACTTTATAGATATTACAATTCCTTTTGAAATAATGCCTATAATCGAATAAATAACTAAAACATTACTTTTCATTATTTATTCGATTGATAAAACAATCCATTCCAGAACCTACTAAAGTCACTTACGTACTTACTACACATTTTGCTATCGTGTTATCTATTAAATGTCTTCCAATGGTTTCCCTTTAATTTCTAAGGAGAAAAATTTAAAAAACTGAAATCAACCATGAGAGGCAATTTTATTAACTCTTGCCTTGCCATTAAATCAGCAGCGACCATGATAGGATTTTTATATCAAAAATGCTATAGCACTTAACGCAAAAACAGGTTACATTAGTGAAATATTTTAATCAAGTTTTGCTTTGGCAGAAGGCCCCACTGAAGGTAATTCTAAGGAGGTTTGTATTAGGAGTAACTCGTTTACTTCTTATAAGCTTGTCAGCCATATTTTTTGCTTTAAAAAAATTGGTTGATTCGATTTAAGCGTGCTAATCTTAGCAAGTAGGCATATAGTGCAGCCAGTCTTATTTAACTGAACCCTGAGCCACAAGTTCCTGTTATATATATAAAATACCCCTTCCCCATTTAAGCAATATTATCGTAAGCGTTGTCCTATTTTTGTTGTCATTCTCAGGAAGTTAGTCTGTAAGAGTGTTTGTTTTTTTTCACAAAATATTGATTTATAACATAATTTATAAGATAGAAACTTTACTTTCGTACCTGCATCTTTCATTAAGTATTGAACGATTCGTTTAAGTCAAATCAATCAACAACTTCTGCCATATTCATAAAAACGTGGATTTGTGTATTCTTTGCTCGATTACATTCGTCAAAAACTAAATCGCAGAGCTCAAGTTTGGACTTAAATATACAAATATAACATTAGATACTGACCTTATTTACTACTCGACAATATTAAATTGTCGCTCGGAAATCCTCAAGGTTTCGACCACCGACTAACCTTATTTTTTATTGTTCGTGAGAAAAAGCTTGTCGTGTGTAATTTTCCATCGAAACAACTGAATTTATTATTTATGATTTTAATATCATCATTATTAATGATTATGGCTCAATTATATACTGTACTGGCGTACATAACCAAAAATTTGTTAAAAATGTAAGGGCATTTCAAAGATGTTTTTAGGTTCCGTTTGAAATGGACTGGACAAGTGAGACATTTATAAAATAAATGTCATTGAACTTTGGAGCAACCGTTGGTGCTTTGAGAATTTTATGTTTCGTTCTGGCATTGACCTTAGCACTGAAACAAACATAAAATTAAGATTGAAACGCAGTAACCTACTCAATGTAGCGATAATTTTTCAACATAATTCAAAAACTCGTCGAATGTCACGTAGCTTGATGATCACAACACTAGTAACCGAGAATTTGAGTAATAAATGTTAATTGATATAGATTTATTATTAAAAATTTCATAAATAACTTTAATATTTTTGTCACATGTTATTGCACAATATAAATAACAAATTAAAACAATTACGACTCGCAAACAATTCCGAACGGTGCTCAATAGCTTGAAAAAGTTTGACGTTAACATGTAGCACTCGATAGTTCAATTAATTACAGCAACAGCACAGAACGCTTTGGGCGCCGGTTCATGTACTGCCCGAGTCGTAATTTCTTTTTCAATATATAATCGATTTTTAATCTACACAGTGCCATCATATGCAAATACATATAAAAAAAATATTAAACTTGTCAAACGTTAAACTTTGTAATTTCTTTCAAACTGCAAAGCATAAGGCATTAAACCTTAATACACAAGTGTTAAGGTTGAAATTACATTGCGCGAGAGGGGCAATTTCATAGATTTAAAAAAAATTATAGATTAGTAATTTAAATGTCAGGATAGTAGGCAAATTGCCCTACAACCAGGGTTCACTTCATCATAATGTCTTCTTGCTAGGCCCAAATCTCCAGTGGACAGACAAGTACGGGATTCACTGGGTGGAAGGCTCCAGCCCTATAACATCCTAATGATATCCACAGGCTGAAACCGAAACGCGATTAAACTTCAAGGTAAACCATTTAATGTGACTAAATACAAAAGAGTTAATTTAACTTATCATACGACAAAATAATAATAAATAATAATTAGCCAATTATTTAGTTGGAAAATTCTTAAAGAATACCCACTTCTGTATTTTATCTTTACCCATGGTAATTAATTGTCAGATAGAATCTAATGTAATATTTTATTATTAAACCTCGAACTTATTACGCGACATAATTTTTTATGTTTTATTATTATATATTTGCTTGCATCCTATTTAAACCGGATATAAATACAAACTTATATGTATGATAATTTGTTCGGAATTTGAAAATTGCACAAACCCATTTCCGCTATACATGTGTTAGAGGAAATGGACAAGCTGTGTCTTTTTGCTAAGATCTGTTTTACCTACAGGTATAACCCTGCTTTCTTCGCTGTATCTACCTGAAACCTACCCTACCCTATGTTTTCGGGACCTAACGTCCTAAAAGGAGGATTAGAGAACATTTACTATTGAGGCGTTCTTACAGCATAAATATTAATTTTAAACATGATTTCACCCAAAATTAGTATTGCTTACTGGTAAGGTAGTCTGTCACAGTTTCAAGTAAGGTCAAAGTAATTTATTAATCATTATTTTTGAGTCCCTCATGCCAATATAAAATGATTATATTAAGAACTTTTTGTTTTAGTTCAACTTAACTGTTAGCAAAATAATAAAATTATAAAACGATATTTCATTCAGATTAATGGTAATTGAATAACAATTTTGTAAATTTCACTCAATAAAATCGATCGTTTATTGCCTTACTTAAGACGAATTCTTTGATTAGTCCCATGTCAGCAAATTAGCAGATAAGTTAATTCATGAAAGGAAAATAATAAACACTGTCTATAGTTTACACGAGTTTAGTACTTTCATTTAAAAAAAACACTTTAACTGTTTAAAACACCCTGACCACGGCTGCTGCAAAGCATCCGAAACGTCGGGCCGAAGTTAAAAATCATTTTCAAAAAGTTTAACTAACATATAATAAGTGTTTTATTTAAAGGAAAATAATAAATTTGTGTTTGCTATCTTCTGTAGGTACTGAATTCGACTTAAAGAAAATTCAAACGAGTATCAACGACTTAGAGGCAGAGTCGTGGGATGTATGGTGATTGATTGTGATAAATTGCAAATTTAGACGTTACTGTGTACCTCTCTATCTCTTCAGAAATTAATTATTTTGAATAGCACGCTTAATATTATTCTGTAATTTATACAAATAATAGAACAGTTTTTTTAGATTTTGATTTGTTAATTATCTGGTAACGGTATTTGACATCTATCTGGAAAATCAATGGAGTGTACATACTTGTATTTAAAAACGGGAGAAGAATATCTAATATAGACAAAATTCGTCCGTCGTATCTTGTTATATGCCTGGGGTATTTATCTTCCATTAAATGAACTCCACGCTTGTCGGTGCTTCATTCTCATTTAAAAAAGATGATTTTCATGATAATTTATCTGATAAAGCATGCTTTGATTATTTTTAATTTTTGCACATGAAGGCACTTTATTTAAAAATGGAAAATTGAATAAAATTCGTCTCGGGCACGACTTGCACCGGCATCATCGCGTTCCGTGCTGTTGCTCTTCTCAATTTGAACGCTGACAATGGCCGGTTCAAGTCCCGTGCGAGTCGAACATTTTTTCAATTTATTTTCGATTCTTAAATTAAAAGCTTATTTTTAAATTTTTTAAGTAAAAATGAAATTTTACGTAAAATAACCTACGAAATATCTTATCTTTCAGGGTTGACCCGTTCTTAACAGCTAAAGTCCCTCAGGCTTACTATGCTAGTGTTAAAAGTAACTTATTTTGCTCGTAGCATTGAAACGTAGCATTAATGGTGCTACTGTTTTAATTGTCATTTACGCAGTAATAATATCGTCAGATAACTTCCTTTTAACATCATTTATACCTTAAACATTCACAGAGCTGTTTAAAATAATATATTATTACAATTGTATTCACTAATCTTATATTAGCAACGCTTACATGAGTGTATATATAAAATTTTATATCTTCTACTGAGATTTTCT